TGTATATTGTTGTTGTTTTCAGGATACCTGTGGGCATATGGCATAGCTAATATCAAGCAGTGAGTATAGAAACTCTCCCTGGCACCTAATCCCTACATTCTTTTCTGACTCTGTTCATTTTGCACGACCATTCTCTTCTCGACTCAAATCAGGCCAACAAATTGTGTCATGCAGTTGTTTTGTGGGGTTGTCTTTGTCTCTTGGAAGTTATCTGCCTATTTCTCATTTTGTATTCAATTCATGCATCTAATTTATGTATGTATTGAATTTACTTTTGTTGCAGTGAGTCTGCCATCATGCAAAGCCCTATCACAATTCACAATATCTGGCACCTCTGCCTCCACAGAAACAGCCCCTGCTACATGTGGGATTCAAGGGTGGGCTGATCTCTCCCTGGAGGCCCGCTCCAGTCTATTGTTGCCCTCCTGGGCTCCTTCAATGACCTCCTTGCCTTCGCAAGCACCTGCCGTTCTTGGCGTGCTGCCTTCTCGTCATACCCATCCAAATCCAGGTTCTATGCCTTGCTCTCACCTCTCCTCGTTAGGCCCCCAATATCCCCGTGCGTGCACGAGCTGCACAGATGGCAGGTCATTGATCTAGCCAATCCAAAAACAGATCTTTGCGGGCAGATTCCTCAAGAAATATGTAAGGAGGCAATGCATTTCGCCGGCTCCTCTTATGGTCAGCTAATATGCGGCCTTCGCAAAGATTGCCTCATCGTCGATGTGTTCACTGGGGCCGGCCAGAGTTTGGGCACTGCAGCTCAAACTTAACGATGACACTTTTTTCAACTCTGGCATGCTGACAGCTCCTCTTGCACTACAAAACTCTCACCTCCTTGTCTGTGTAGTATCCAGTCAGCACAGCATTCCGGCCTCCCTTCTTGACTGGTCAGTTGGAAGTGATTCTTGGTCAGAAATGCAGCTCGGTAATTCATTGATCGAGCAGATTATCGAGTTCAACGGTCAGTTCATCGCCATGGACAGCTACTACAGGCTCTACACTGTCCTTGGCAGGGGCGGAGGCAGCTGGTATCTCATGGGCCTACGTCAAGACTCAAGAGCCCACGGCACTGTAGGTGGTGCCAGGAGTATCCACAATCAAGCAAAGACAGCATATGAAGATTTCAAAAACCAAAGCTCAAGTCTAAAACATAAGGTCACTTCTACAAAAGAAGGATAAAAATATTGTTCAAAGCCATGTCTTTGGTTACAGATGTGAAATCATGCTTGATCAACTTGAGAGCTAACGATTGGGAACCACTTTTTGAAGATGTCAAAACCTTTTGCAATGAAAATGATATCCTAGTACCAAATATGGACGAAGCTGTGTCAAGATGGGGCCGATCAAGAAAAAGGGGGACAAATAACATCACTCAAGACCATTTTTTCAGTGTTGATACATTCTATGCAGCTATAGATGCTATCACCACCGAGCTAGATCATCGCTTTAATGACATGACTTCAGATTTGCTTCTTGGCTTCGCTTGTCTTGACCCAAGAGACTCATTTGCCAAATTTGATGTGGACAGAATTGCTAAGCATACTGATATCTACGATGCAGATTTCTCCTAGGATGATCGTAACTGTATAAAAACTGACCTCCAATTATTCATCAACCACATGAGAAGGCATGACGAATTTAGAGTTTGTTATGATCTTGCAAGCCTAGCTAAAAAGATGTTCGAACTTGAAAGATATTATGTTCCCTCGAGTTTATCGTATTATTGAGTTGAGGTTGCTACTGCTAGTGGCGACAGCATCGGTTGAGAGGGCCTTCTCAGTTATGAAGATTATTAAGATCGAGTTACGCAATAAGATGGCTGATGCTTGGCTTAATGACCTGATGGTGTGCTACATTGAGCGAGGCTTATTCAAGGGACTTGATCTTGCTGAAATTAAGAAAGAATTTAAAAGAAAAAAAAAGAATAATGCCATTGCCAAGGTCTGCACCCAAATAAAGCTTTATTGTGGGTATGTATTTGTTCCAACAACAAGATTTATTTAGTGAGGTATTTTATGTACCAATGCTTTACTTTTGGATTTTTGTTATATTTGCTGATCACATAGTAATATATATATTTAGATAATGTTCTAGTGTGTCCTTGCATAATTGATAGTTATATTAAACATGTTTGACCTTTATAAACCCACCACACCTAGAAAATATTCCTACCTCCGCACCACTGGTCCTTGGCCCCCTAGCTTGGTCGATCTGCAAGAGATGATAACTGTGTCTTGGGACAACAACGACATGCATGTATGCCCATTTCGAAGGCCATGGCTGGTGGTAAGTAGCGGCATGCTTCTAATTGTTGACTACTACTTGAGCGTAACATCATCTGGAGCACCTGTCAACTACAAAGCCTACCTCCTGGGCATGTCCACTGAACCTGCAACTTGGCTGGAGGTGGTGAAGCTGGAGAATGATACCGTGTTTATTGCGTGGGTGATGGGAGGAGCCCGGCAGTCTCTTGCTTGAGCTCAGGACGATGGGGCGGGAGAAGCAACTGCCTGTACTATGCCCATGACATGCAACCATGGGTCTTGCATGGGCTGGGTGACGATGCAGATGCCGTTTGGGATGATTCCACTGACCCTGACCTTGAGTTTTGCAGGGGCTGGTACGGCGAGCTTCGGCCATTCTGGGTGTACCCAAGCATGTTCTACTCAGATGGGTAGTGATCCTTGCCTGCCTTATGTTGCTGAAATTTCGCCTTCTGTGTTCTTTGGGCAGCGAAGACTTCTCCATCTGAATAGATGATGGACTATGTGATATTGTATTTAAAAGAGGTTGTTTAGCACTTTTCTCGTTGATAATTGTGACCTCTGTTTGCTCGAGCCTTCTCCCTAACTGAATGAGGTTTTTAATATCGTGTGTATTTGAGATTTCATTTTTGTCTAATTGCTAAGTAATGTGTGTTTTTGAAGAAAATGTTGATGTAGCTTTTGAAATATATATGAAGAAAAACCACAATGTCTACTCAGAGATCAGCTTTCTGTCTTTTTCCTGTTCTCTTTTGACCGTGCTGTTTAGATTAGGTTTTTCGTTTGGAATTCTGGAATTCAGATTTGTGGAAAGGAGCTGGTGTGTGTGAGACCAATGTTTACAAGAATCAATCTATATATACTGTCAAAGAAAAAAAAAGAACCAAAATATAATTTGTAATGGTTGCCTCACAGAACAATGTGGAACTGGAATTGACGTGAACAAATTTATATTCTATAGCAAACAATAACTGAAGTCCAATTTCAACATTCAAACGCGAATCACCTTTTTTATTTTGGTATAAGAAAATATGTATAGTCGCTCAAAATGAATGAGGGCATATATATACTTCCGAAACTAGAAGAAAAGCTATTAGGCCATTTGTAAGCTTCATAATTTTGGCCTAGACTTCCAATAAGTTAAATCGCTACGGCCCTGGTCCAATTTTGGCCCATAAAAGCGAGCGTAGAGCAGAAGGGAGTGGGACTAGAGAAGCCGCTACTGGAACTCTGGAAGTGAGGGAAGAGGAGATTGGGAAAGCGATCTCGCCGCCGTCGCCTTCGCCGGCGAACGCGGAGACACCGACATTATCGACACCTGCTTCCTAAGCAAGGCCTGTACTCTCACTCTCTCCCTGTCTGATTTCTTTTTATTCTTTTTGCTTGGTTCATCCGCGCATCCTTGTCTCCTTGGTCCTTTGGTTCATCCGCGCATCCCTGTCTCCTAGTCCTTCAGTTTGTTGAACCAACCAAGCCGATAAATTGCGTCGCGTGTTTGTTGCTGTGAAGTGATCCTGAATCGAGCTATTTAGATTAGGTTTGCATTGGATTATGGTGTGATGGTAAGATGTACGGCAAGGGAAAACCCTAGTGCCAATAGACATGAATCCACAACCCAGGGACGCCCTCCCAAATCGAGGGTCGGGGTTGAACAGGGTCGATGTCCCTGTTCTTCTTGGGCCGTCGTTCCTCTGTAGTAGGAACATACCATGGATCCATGAGCTATATCGAAAAGCAGTAGAGACGATTGGAAGGGAAAATGACGTTGAAGAAGACTACCATAGAATTGGGGTGCAGGAGGCAGGAGCAGGAAACACAAAATTAATCTGCCTCCAACAAAACTAAGAACACAAAAGAGAAGAGGAGACAATGGGTGATCGATTTTGCTAGTGTCTGCCTGCCTGGTGTGAGGAGTTGGCTGGAGGTGGTTGATTTCTGGCTGGCACGATAGGTGATCTGAAGGAGAGAGAGATGGCTAATATCTAACTGCCAGTGGAGACTCTCTCTTGTAGTCGGAAAAAGTCTACGTAACCCTCTTATCTATTGCGACTCGACTACTTCATCCCCTAACCTATAAACCCCCCTCACCTTTGCAAAACCGTTTTAAATAACCCCTATGGTGGTTTTGCATAGCGGTTTCGCCATGCTAGCGTGTTGAGGTGGAATTTGATGCTGATGTGGAAGATTGACAAGTGGGCCTGGCTTGTAACTGGCGCCCCTTCTCTCACTGATAGATGGTCCCCACCCGTCATCCCCAACCTCTAGCTCCTTCTACCTTCCATCTGTGGGCGAGGGATCAGCATCCACTCTTCTAGATCTCGCTCGGTTACCCACGGTGATTTCTTGTTGGCTCCTGGCCAGCTTTTTCCATGCTCATGCAGCTGAGGCGGCGAAGTAGAGAGGTGAGCAGTAAGAAGGAGGAGGGCAGCAGCAAGCTAGGGCAGTGGCTGGGTGCGCCGGTGCGGGCGCTGTCGTGGGCGTGCGACTCATACGTGCGTGGGATGTTGGCGTGTGTGGGCTGGATGCCGACGCCAGCGGGCATGTATGGCGATCGTGGCGGGTTCGCTCCAAGGACCATGGAGGCCTATACGTTCAGCTCTAGCTCCCGGCGTCGTGGCGGTGATGACGTCAACAAGCTCGTACACACCAGGCAGCGGTCGGACGCGGAGGCGATGACGTGGCGGCAGCGAAGTCGAAGGTCCCGGACTCCCGGTGCACAGCCGGAGCGTTGCAATGGGGCAGATCGACGAGGACGCGCCGTGCGAGTTCAGGGCCGACGACGTCATGCGCATCGCCAGGCCTGCTGTGCGCAGGGCCCACAGCATCGCCATGGGCAGCGCCGGCCTCGCCGCCCACGCTGGGTACAAGGCAGGGTGTTGTGCGGGACTGATCTGACGTTAGGTCCGTTGGTCGTGTGTATCGTCGGCGCATGCAAGCAACGGCCGCACCAGCAAGATGACAACGTCCTTTCTTACGTGTGCATAGCTAGCTCGATTTCTTCAGCGTTCGTAGCTCTTAGTACTAAAGCCGGTCGGGAACCAACAAGAAATTGCAGTGGGTAACCGAGCGATATAGAAGAGTGGATGGTGATCCCTCGCCCACCATGGATGGAAGGTAGGAGCTGGAGGTAGAGGATGACGGGTGGGGATCACCAATAGGTGAGAGAAGGGGCGCTACTTACAAGCGGGGCCTAGTTTTCACTCGTCCACATCAGCATCAAAGTCCACCTCAGCGCGCCAGCGTGGCAAACCTGCTATGCAAAACCACTGTGGAGGGTTATTTGACCGGTTTTGCAAAGGTAAGGGGGTTTTATACCTGGTTTTATAGGTTATGGGGTGAAGTAGTCGAGTCGCAATAGGTGAGAGGGTTATGTAGACTTTTTCCTCTTGTAGTCCCTAATGTCTTTTTTGCTTGGTTCATTTGGCACATATGTGCCTTATCTTTGGTTTCTTATAATCCAAACTAAGCAAAGGAATTTCGGCAGCGTCATCCTCTGAGTTTTGATGAGTGACCCCTATAACAGATGGCTATGCCCCATGACTAACAATGCTATGATAAAATACTCCACTTTTATGTTAACTTTTTTGGGGGGGGTGGGGAGTCAACCCAGGATACTGAAAATATTTTTTGTATGCCATTGTTGATCTGTGAAGGGTACACAAAATTGTATTTCAGAGCATAATTGCGCATTTTTTTGCCATACTTTTCACCTTTGTTTCATGCTTCACTAAAGTTACTGCAGGCCATCCTAAATATCATGTTCTGGAAATAGACATGGGTTTTGGCTATTGGAAGAAAAGTTTGAATTGAAACCAGACTTAGATAAAAACTGGTTTTCCATTGTCAATCTGTCTTAGCTTGAACATTAGGATTTACCCAGCGAATAGAATTCCTTGTTTGTAAAAGTGTATATCAACTTAAAAAGTAGCTCTTGTATAGCACATTCTAAAATGTTTGCAGGTCACCTAAGTCTCTAGCAAGTTAACTGTCTATTCTTCATTTTTCAATCGATTCAGTTCCAACTTGCTCATTTTTTTACTTTGTTGCAGAGATTCTGACATCATGCAAAGCCCTAGCAAAATCACACGTGCCTCTACCTCCACTACAATCCCTGCTGTGTATGGGCTTCAAGGCTAGGCAAATCTCCCAGAAGGTCTGCTTCATTCCGTCATTCCTCTGTTGGGTTCCATCATTGAGCTCCTTGCCTTCACTAGAACCTGCCGCTCTTGGCGTGCTGCCTTCTCCTCATACCCATCTAAATCCACATTATGCACCTTGATCCCGTCTCACCTCGTCCAGCCCCATATCACTGTCCATGCTCCTAATCTACCCTCCAGAAGTGACGATGGTCACAAGCTCGGCACGTGCCAGGTCGTTGATCCAGCCAACATGAAAAGTACCCTTCGCTACCAGGTTCCTGAAGAGACATTTGAGAAGTTGTGCATTGCCGGCTCTTCCTATGGCCAGCTGATTTGTGGATGTGGCAGAAATTGTCTTATCATGGATGTGTTCACTGGTGCCAAAGTTTTTTCTCCACAGCTCCCATTTACCAACAACACTTATTTGTACTGTGGCATGCTGACAACTCCCCTTGCATCACCAAACTCACACCTCCTAGTTTGCGCGCTACCAGAAAAGAGCAGTCCGTTCCTGCTTGATTGGCTGATTGGAAGTGATTTTTGGTCAAAACTACAGCTCAATCTTAATGATTCAGTGATTATGCAGATTGTGGAGTTCAATGGTCAGTTCATCACGAGGGACAACTACCACAGGCTCTACACTCTGTCCTTGGCCCCCCCAACTTGGTCTGTAGGAGATAGCAACTGTGTGGTTGGATGACATACATGGATACCCATATACACAGCCATCGCTGGTGGTATGTAGCGGCATGCTTCTAATTGTTCACTACAGCTTGAGCCTCGCATCATATGGAGCACCTGTCAACTACAAAGCCTACTGCCTGGACATGTCCACTGAGCCTGCAACATGGGTGGAGGTGGTGAAGCTGGAGAATGATGCCCTCTTTATGGGGCGTGATGTGAGGAGCCCAGCATTCTCTTGTATGAGCCCAGGACGATGGGGCGAGAGAAACAACTGCCTGTACTATGCCCATGACAGTCAATCCTGGGTCTTGCATGGGATGGGTCATGATGCAGATGTAGTTTGGGATGATTCCACTGACCCTGACCTTGTGTACAGCAGGGGCCTGTGCCTCAAGCTTCAGCCATTCTGGGTGTACCCGAGCATGTTCTACTTAGATGGACAATGATCTGTGCCCGCCCTATGTTGCTGGTAGGAAGACTTCTGCATTTGAATAGATGATGTTGATAGAAGTAGAACAGGATCACTAGCCATAGATCTAGCATGTGTACTTGTATTTGGAGTAAACAGCGAGTCCTAGAACATCTACCAGTATGGGATTAACAGATAGAGTGAGAGGGGTGGAAGAAGTGCAAACCATCGACTGCCTTCGACGAAGATGGGCTGGCCATCACGGCGCTTGGTGAAGACTCTGTGTAGGCGCTGTGTCGAAGGGCGGCGGTGCAGTGGCGGCATTGGCCGGTGGTGGTGCTTCCCATCACTGGCTGCGCACCCTCTCTTAGATCGGATTGGGGTTGTGTTGGTGGGGCGACGGTAGCTCATTCAACCTCATGATCTGAGCCGCCGGCCCCCACCTTTCTTTTATAGCGTACTGTGACAGGGGCCCACCAACCATCTAGGGTTGGACGCCCCCGATCAGGGCGCGGATCCAAGGGCCCAATTAGCTGTTGGGCCAATTGGATAGAGATCAACTAACATTCTCTCCCTTGATCTCACCTTATGACTTAAACTCAACTTACTTACTTCATCTTGTTCCCCATTCCATCACAGATCAGTGCATAGTGGGTGTCTCATCGTCACGGTCAGTTGTCATTAGATTAAATAGCTATAGTGCACCTTTCTATTTTGAAACAGATTTTCAACTAGCCCCTTATTGTCCAGGAATCATAGGCTTTCCCTTAAACCCATGCTGGTTAAATATTCTCTAAACACGCTGGGTGGTAAGCCTTTTGTAAGCGGATCCACAAGCATCTTTTCTGTTCTTATATGCTCAAGACTAATTATATGATCCCGGACTTTGTCTTTCACAACATAATACTTTATGTCAATGTGTTTGGCAGCACCACTTGACTTATTGTTGTGAGCATAACATACTACTGGATTATTATCGTAGTATAACTTGAGTGGTTTATGTATGTCGTCTACCACTTTCAACCTGAGCATGAATTTCTTTAGCCAATTCACCTGCCCTGTGGCCTCATAACATGCTACAAACTCGGCATACATTGTGGATGATGTAGTGACAGTTTGCTTTGAGCTTTTCCATGATATAGCTCCTCCTGCGAGAGTGAATATGTATCCTGACGTTGACTTTCTTTCATCTCCCGCATAATCAGAATCTGTATACCCCTCTATGTGTAGGGAATCAGATCTTCTATACATTAGCATGAGACCCTTCGTACCTTGCAGGTAACACAAAACTTTCTTTACTAATTTCTAGTGTTCTATTCCTGGATTACTCTGATATCTGCTAAGCAACCTGGTAACAAATGCTAAGTCAGGGCGAGTACACACTTGAGCATACTGTAAACTTCCGACAACTGAACTATATGTTACCACTTTCATTTGATCGATGTCATATTGGTTCTTGGGACATTGAAATTCCCCATATCTGCTGCCCTTGACTATGGGAGCAGGTGAAGACTTACAATTTTGCATACTGTATTTCTTTAGAACTTTTTCTAAGTATGCCTTTTGTGATAATCCTAAAACCCCATTTTCTCTATTTGGGTGAATCTCTATTCCTAGGATGAACGAAGCTTCACCGAGATCCTTCATATCAAACTTTGAAGACAAGAACTTCTTTGTTTCTAGTAGTAGATTAACATCACTGCTAGCGAGCAAGATGTCATCCACATACAAGACTAGGAAAATGTATTTCCCATTCTTGAACTTTGCATAAACGCAATTGTCCTCTACATTTTCTTGAAACCCAAACTTTTTATTGTACTATCAAACTTCAAATACCACTGTCTTGAAGTTTGTTTTAATCCAAAAATGGATTTCTTCAGGCGGCATCCCATGCGTTCTTTACCTTCCACAACAAAACCTTTCGATTGTGCCATGTAAACATTTTCCTCCAGATCTCCATTTAGGAACGTCGTCTTTACATCCATCTGATGTAATTCTAAGTCGTAATGTGCTACAAGCGCCATTATGATTCTAAAAGAATCCTTACATGAGACTGGAGAAAATGTCTCATTGTAATCTATGCCTTCTCTTTGCGTGAAACCTTTCGCCACAAGTCGCGCTTTAAACCTTTCTATATTCCCTTTAGAGTCATGTTTAGTTTTGTAGACCCATTTACAGCCTACTGTCTTGGCTCCTTTAGGAATTGTCTCTAAGTTCCAAACTCTGTTGGTTTTCATTGATTTCATTTCATCTTCCATAGCTTCAAGCCACTTGGATGAGTGAGCGCTTCTCATGGCTTCTTCAAATGAGGTGGGATCACCCTCCATTTGAAATTCCTCACATTCATAAACTTCGTAGTCATCAGGAATGGCTAATCTCCTAACTCTTTGAGACCTTCTAGGGACCTCGTTAGACGACGCTTGTTCTATATGAGGTTGTTGTTGCTCTTCCTCATGTGTGACAACAGGTTCTAGGGGATCCTAAAGGATAGGTTCCTCATGTTCATTCATTGTTGCCATAGGAGAACTAACAATAGGTGCTGTACTGCAGTGTCTTGCACTATTGGTACAGCAACAACAGGTAGAGTGAAGAATGGCTCCTGAACCATAGGAGTGAGCACGTATACCCGCTTCTCTTCGAAACTAATTTCATGCGCTACCATGCTCCCACTGATCATATCATCCTCCAAGAAGACAACATGTCTTGTTTCTACAAACTTTGTTTGTCTATCAGGATAATAGAAGCGATAACCTTTTAACTTTTCCGGATAGCCAATGAAATGGCAACTGACTATCTTGGAGTCCAACTTCCTTATGTTTGGGTTAAATACTTTTGCCTCAGCTGGACAACCCCACACATGTAAATAGTTTAGTGAGGGTTCCTTTCCTGTCCACAACTCATACTGTGTGTTGGGCACCGACTTACTTGGCACTCGATTAAGTATATGAATGGCGGTTTTTAACGCCTCCATCCATAAACTTATCGGTAGGTTAGAGTAACTTATCATGCTTCTCACCATATCCATTAAGGTACGGTTGCATCTTTCAGCTACTCCATTCTGTTGAGGCTCTCTCGGTGTAGAATACTGGGTTACTATGTCATTTTCCTATAAGTACCTTGCAAAGGGTCCAAGAACTTGGCCATATGGGGTGTGTCGATCATAGTACTCTCCCCCACGGCCGGACCTTGCTACCTTAATCTTTAAGTTGTACTGATTTTCAACTTCAGCCTTGAATATTTTAAATTTATCAAATGCTTCCGATCTTTCCTTAATAGGATAAATATAGCCAAAACGAGAATAGTCATCTGTGAATGTTATAAATGAATCATAACCATCCACACTCTTCATAGGAAAAGGACCATAGATGTCTGTGTGGACTATTTCTAAAATTCCTGCGCTTCATTTGACATCTTTCTTTATTTACTTAACATACTTTCCTTTTATGCAATCTATGCATTGTTCTAAATCTGAAAATTCTAAAGGTGGAAGAATTGATTTCTTAATCAATCGCTCTATTCTCCCCCTCGAAATATGGCCTAAACGACAGTGCCATAATTTTGAAGATACATCATGTACTCTCTTCCGCTTATTTGTTGCATTCATAGACGAGGAAGCATTCTCATTCTCAGTACTTATATCATTCACATTCTCAGAAAGTAATAATAAATAAAGCTTGTCTTGTCGGAAGGCAAGACCAACACATTTATTATTATAAACAATCTGACATTTGCCATTACCAAAATGGCAATCATATCCATCGTCATCTAGACGTGAAACACTTATTAAGTTTCTTCACAAAGAGGATACAAATAGAACATCTAAAAGCTTAAGTAGAAAACCATCAACTAATTCTAGAGAAAGATCTCCAATGGCTTCAACTTTAGCTTCAACTCCATTTGCGACTTTAATTCTTCTTTCTCCTCTTTGCAGGGTCCTCCTCGTACGGAATCCCTATAATAAATTTGCAACATGAATAGTTACACCTGAATCAATCCACCAATTAGATTTTGCACAACTTAAATACAAGGATTCATCTATGAATATAATGAAATCCTCACCTCTCTTCAAAAGGTTCTTCAGGAAGTCTGGACAGTCCCTCTGGTAGTGTCCATGCTTGTTGCACCATTTGCACTGATTCTTTTCAACTTGAGCATTGTTGTTCTTCCGATGGTGCTCAGTCTAAGGGGCTTTCCCTTGAGGTTTGATATTCTTATTGAAGTTCTTTTTTCTTGTCCTTCATAAGGTTAGCAGAGTCACCCTGTAAGGATTTCAGCCTCTCCTCTTCTTGAACACACATTGCGATGAGCTTCTCTATGTCCCACTTGTCGGGCTGCATGTTGTAGTTAACAACAAAGGTTTCATATTCCTTTGGCAAGGAAGCAAAAACCAAATGAATCAGGAACTCATCCTTGAGCCCAAATCAATTGGCTTCAGCTTCGAAGCCGTGTTGCTCATCTTCAATATGTGCTCTCTGATACCGCCACCAGTTTATTTCTCATCGAACAATTTCTTGATCAATGTACTGGCATAAGCCTTTGAAGAGCCAGTGAACTAACTCTCCACCTTCTTAAGATACTCTGTGGTGGTATCATAGTCTGAGATAGACCCCCTTATAGCATCTGAAATTGTGGACTTAGCCACCATCAAGCACTTGCGGTTTGAAATGTCCCATTTCTTGCGTTCGAGATCATACTTCATCCGCACTTCTGCATGATCTCGCTGCCGAGCAGTGAAATCAGCATCGGACTCGTTTTCTTCCCTCACCGGGTCCACTGGCTCAGTAGGACACGGGGAAGTAAGCGCTAGGTCATTTTTAGACAGCGCAAGTGCTAGTTCATACTTCTCTCACCATAACCTATAGTTGCCCCTTTCAAGAGGTGGTATGTGCGAGATGAATGCCATTGGGTTGAGTCCTGAAAAACACCGTCAGAGATAGTGAGAAAATTATGACATCATAATTGCATGCTTTAATTTAACGTTGGTCAAAATTAAAACATACAACATTCTTATACACTAATTCTACATCACCGTTGGGC